GACACTGGGGAGGCAGGAGGCTGGCTGAGCACCTTCCTGCACAGCCCCTCTGGCTGGAGTCTGCCCACGGGGCGGGCACCTCCCCCAGCCTGTCCTGAGCCTTCATGTCCAGCCCAGGACAGGTCAGGGTCAGAGGAGGGGGCAGCTCCCAGGAGGTGGGACAGAAGCACCCACGCTCTGAAGCTGAGGGAGAGGCATCCCCAGGAGAGAAGGGCCTCTGGGCTGTGGGGACCCCGTGCTGAGTGACAACCTCCCACCACCCTCCTCTCTGATGAGACCTCACATCTGGACCCTGCCCCGCAGTCAGTCCCACCCCCACCCCCAGCTGTGGGGACCAAGGACCCTGACTCACTTTTCTGCCTTCTCAGAATAGACCCTCCGGTCAAAGTTGCTCTTGCGCTGCCATTCCTGCATGGCCTGCCCTATTCCCTCCTCCAGCGTCATGGTGGGCCTCAGGCGGGACAGGGACCGGAGCGCTGGCCTGTAATGCCTCAGGGTCAGTCATGGCTGCAGCCTGGCCTCCACCCGCCTGCCCACCCCAGCTCAGTGGCGCCAGGTTCCCACCCCCACCCAGCAGGACTGAACGCTCCAGGCGCGCCCCCTGCCCTGCCCAGTGCACTCACATGAGGAAGCAGCAAAGAGCTCCCGCATCAGGACTCTGGGGAAGGTGCCCCCGGGCCAGGGCCTTGAAGCACTGCCAACGACGGAAGTCCTCATACACACTCTTGGGGTTACAGGCGTCATCCAACCAGGCCTTGGACTTGGAGGCAGCCAGGCCACCCTCCCTGGAAGCCCCGTGTGGCCGTGGTCCAGGGTCCACTCGGGGGACGATGGGGGCCAGCTGGGCAGCTGGTGGTGGAGCTTGAGGAGGAAGGCCGGGACACCAGCCTCCATTGCCGGCCTGGGTGCCCCCAAAAGCCGAGGCGGGCATAATCGTCTCCACCGCAGTGGCTTCCAAGAAGAGAGGTGCAGGACACACAGCACCCCCACAGATGGCACCTGGAGCACTCCCGTTGAGGGGGGCCTGAGTCAGGACAATGGTCTGAGTATGGGAGGGCTGTGGTTGTCCCCCTTCTGACCTGACCTGGTCCATGATGTTACAAGCCCCAGGCCCAGTGGGGCCTTGAACGGCATCTCCTGCCACCAGAGGTGTCCTGGGCAAAGCGGGCAGCACCAGGGGGCAGCCAGGAGGGAATGACGGGGTCCTGAGGGGCGGCAAGTGCTGCTCCCAAGGTGGCCGGTGTGCGGGGCCCGTAGTGGGCGGGGGAAAGGGCTGTGCCGTGAAAGGAGTGACGGAGGCACCGGGCTTCAGGGTCACATCCGCTCCCAGCACTGCAGATGCTGTTGAGAGAAAGGAAAGGGTGAAGGGAGGAGGAGAACCAGCAAACAGCACTGAGGCGCTCTGGGCCCCCTGTAGCCACTGGGGAGTCAGAGCAGTGAGTCTCCCAGGGGAGGGCCATTGGGATCGGCAAACTGCGGAGGTAGCAGATGTCCTCAGGTCATTGTCACGCTCTGACCTCCAGTTGGGAATTAATCCACTGGAGAGCTTGCTCCCCATCGCCAAGGCTCCCTGACCACTGTCTGCGAGGAGAAACGGCCCCAGCCAGCGCTGACCCTGAGAGCCGCCCTAAGGATTCCCTGGCACCGACCCTGCCAGTCTCAGGCCTGGCCCTGGGCAGCAGTCTGCTCTGGGGGCAACGAACCCAGGCAGGCCCACTCCGGTAGTGACCTTCTCCAAGGTAAGTTCTAGGCACCCAAAGGGCCTCTGAGAACAGGCCGTGTCTGAAATATCAGGGCCCCATCTGCTCCTCAGTCTTCCCTTTTCTCAATAAATCACCCCCTTTCTGTCCTGGGCTTGCACAACAACACAGAAACACTTGAGTAATGTCTCTCCACAAGAAGGCACAGGAGCCCTGATCTGACCCTTGAACGCACTGACCAGCATGCACACGTGTGTCAGAACCAACAGTGAACACTCAACATGGCCCAGGTCCTGCCACTCGGCCCCAGCGCTCAGACTAATGGCCCCTCAGGAGCTT